ATCGTATTAAAGCCGTGTACAGTCGCCTACACTTATACCTGGTACAGTGTGTTTTGGGAGATGTGGCAATTCTGTGTTTGTTTACATCATATTAAAACTCCCGGAATGGCCCTATGGAACCTCTCAATAGTAGACAGATTAAGTGATGCTAGATAAATTATTCCTGGGACAGAGTTGCCACATCTCTCAAAACTCATCAGCCACTGTATCAGACATAAGTGCGGGCGACTGTACGTACATAGCTTATACATATTTTGTGATTAGGTCCAGTTATGTCCTGAGTCATTGTTTACATGTATGCACATATAAACACTTAAATTTACAACACTATGCTGCCTCCCCTAAACCATTCCTTATAAAGAGTCGACTGTTGTGAGACTATGCAATACTTTGTCAACTGTTTCAAGTACAGCAAGTCATGTGTCCACTTCTTCCCACTCTGACCTCGAAAATTACAACCTGGAGAAGATTTGCATCCTCGCCTCTATGCTTGAAACTGCTTTAGTTTGTCACGTCGTTGGTAGTAATTGCAGCAATCAGTTAATTTGCCTATACAGAGTAGTACCCCAAAGTGGATGACTCCTTCTGGTTAGATAATTACCTCAGAAGGACACACTCCATCTTAATGCTGCCGCCGCCGCCAAGGTTTAAGCGAGAGGTCTTGACGTGGCTTCAATATCAGCCAATTAGCTCCACTGAATATCCTCCTCCTCCTCCTCTCCCACAACCCCTACCACCAGCAGTTCGCCCCCTCCCCAACCCCATCCCATCCTGCCTTACTCCATGCAACCTAATTATACAAGCTTGGTTAATGAGGCAGTGAACTCAAGGACAAGAATCTGGCCATTTCTTGCTACCCGGACCACCACCACGCCATCACTAAAGAGTAAACAAACTTGGGAAGGAATCCAATTAAAGCTCATACTCGCAACATGTTTCTGTCATTACGAATTCTTGTCGGGAGGAGGTACGGCTGAGGACACCACAGTGCAGTACTTGACGGGTAAATTAACTAATTCCAATAAAATTTATTTATAATATTGGAATTATTTAATTTTACCGCCACACCCCGTTAAGTACAGCACTGTGGTGTCCCAGACTATTTCTTTTTAAACTCGGGTTGAAACACGACGACCCTCTTCAACGGAAGATGGTGTTTAAACCCAGGCCGTAAAAATCTTGGCACGTATTACAACCTGAGCGTGAGTGGGGTCTTCAAGGCTTGGGGCAGGGGGAAGTTTTTCAAGGGTTGATGTTTATAAGGTGAATGAACTTTTGCGAGATGCGAACGAATCACCTCTCTCCAGTCTGTTCCAGTCCCTGTGAATTAAAATAACAAGACGCAACGAGACAGAAATCGGTTTCTTAACGAATGCTCTTGACCTCAACTCAAATGCCCTTAACCTCAACACAAATGCCCTTAACCTTAACATGTCTTACCCCTGAAATAAATCACCTTGAAAATGTCATTACGAAAAAAAAGTAATAATAATAAATAAACCACCTTAATGAAGATGTAAAAATAATAAATAAAACCCCTCATTTAACATCGCTCATTCACAGTATTCAGAGCCTCGTGAGCTTATTCATTATGCATTCAAAAGCTATTTATTTCCCTACGAGCCCAATGCAAGAGGAGTTAAGAGGGAAGTGGAGACCCGACATCACGTTCTTATTGATCCTAGAAGCTTCTTGGAATATATTACTGCCAGTTGTCAAGGTGATATTAACTGGTAATGAGGAAATAACAGCCTGGTGGAATCGTTTCAACCGCCCCAATACTTTGTTTATATTCAATGAGTGACGTCAGCTTTAGATCATGTTTACAAACTCGTCTTTCTCTGGTGTTTATATTGTAGATTTTGTTGTTGTTGTTATTGTTGTTGTTACGAGTTATATAATAAATATTTAGGAGAATAATGAACTAAAGGGAATAGATTCAATCGGTTTTATCGTTTCCATGAAATAATTCTCTGTTATGTAATACGTAAATAGGTGGATGATGATGAAAGACGGGCTCTAATTGGTTGATTCGTTAACCAATCAAATACATGCTATAGTTGTAAACAAACATGGCGAGTGTAAGTGAGAATTTACAACTCGTGATATATTATAATGTATATATGCTTTTTTGTATTTTAATATAAACTGGAATGTTACCGTAATTCGTAACTTATTCTTGGTTAATTTAATATACGGGTCAAGCTAACGAGATTAGTGTTGTTTTAAGACTCGGTAATATTTTCTGCTGATAATATAACTCGGTGTGTGTGTGTGTGTGTGTGTGTGTGTTCCGACAACTAAATCTCACTTCCCCGTTCACCATGGCCGAGTTTGTTTTGAAAGGTGAATGTCTCTCTCTTATATTTGTTAAAACATCAACCATTTCTCTATTGTGGTTGGTTACTTACTTGTTGTTTATGTAGACAAGAAAGAAAATGTTTACAATTTTGTTTTATTATTACAAGATTTTGGGGGAATTATGATTATTCCTTTGTCACTACTACTACTACTACTACTACTACTAAGACTAATACATTACAACCACAACTACAACCAACACCTACTACTATCACCACTACCACCAATTCCACTACTACCACCACTACAACCACCATTACTACTACCACCACTACTACTACCACCACTACTACTACCACCACTACTACATACCAATTAATTACTACTACCACAACTACTACCACCATTACCATTAATTTCACGGCTTCTCCTCGGGTGCTGTCAACTGCAGGGTGAGGGCGTGAAGGCTGATATGTAAATGATGGAGGTGTGAGGGGAAGAAGGGGAGATGGGAGAGGGGAGAGGTGGGGAGAGGAGAGAGGGAGAGAGAGAGGAAGGAGGGTGCAGGAGGAGAGAGGAGAGAGGAAGGAGGAGAGGAGGAAAGGAATAAAAAAGAGGAAAAGGAGGGGGATATGGAGGAGGAGGAGGAGGGAGACAGAGGGGAGGAGGGGGAAAGGGAGAGGAGGGTGGTGAAAGGAAGGGTGGTGGAAAGGTAGAGTGTGTAGAGGTCCATGATATACAAACTACTACTACTACCACCTACCACCTCCACCACTACCACCACTACTACCACTTACTACCACCTCCCTACCACCACCCTCACCACTACCAACCATTACTACCACCTCCACCACCCACCACCACCACCACCACCACTACTACCACCACCCCACCACCCACCACCACCACCACCACACCACCCACCACCACCACCACCACACCACCACACCACCACCCACCACCACCACCACCTCCACCACCCCACACCACCTCCACCACCACCACCACCACCACCACCACCCACCACACTCCACTACTACCACCACCTCCACCACCACCACCACCTCACACCACCACTACCACCACCACCACCCACCACTCACCACCACCCACCACCTACCACCACTACCACCACCTTACTACACCCCCCTACACCACCTCCACCACTACCCACCCTACCACCCCACCTCCACCACTACCACCACCTCCACCACCACCTCCACCACTACCACCACTACTACCACCTCCACCACTACTACCACTACCATACATACACAAAAACTGCCCTCCAGCCCCCACCCACCTGTCCTGACAAGTTAATTATGCTTCCCATCTCATAGTCTCTTCTCTCTCTCTCTCTCCTCAAAATAAATCTTGTGTAGTTTCGCACTTTTCCCTGTTTTATTCGTCTCTTTCTTCCCTTTCATCTCCCTCCTTCTATTTTCTCCTCCTCTTCCTTTCCCACTCCCCCACCCTCCTCTTCCTCCATCCCCACCTCCCACTCTTCATCTCCACCTCCTCCCACCTCCTTCTCCAACCACATGACAATACCCCCCAGCAGCCGGACTTCACGTACCAGAGAAAACATCACAGTTGTTGTCTTCATGAGGCGTGGAGGAGAGACAGCGACCAAGTCCAGTCTGACTTTCTTATTTTTTTTACCGTGTGTGTTAAAAAGAGCTTATCTCAAGTAGTATCTCTCAGCTGTGTGTCTCTAAGTTGTGTGTGTGTGTGTGTGTCTCTCTTAGCTGTCTCTCTCTTAGCTGTGTCTTTCTTAGCTGTGTGTCTCTTAGCTGTGTGTCTCTTAGCTGTGTCTCTTTTACCTGTGTCTCTTGCTGTGTCTCTCTTAGCTGTGTGTCTCTTAGCTTGTGTCCGCTGTCTCTTAGCTGTGTCTCTCTACTGTGTCTCTCTTAGCTGTGTCTCTTAGCTGTGTGTCTCTTAGCTGTGTGTCTCTTTTACCTGTGTCTCTCTTAGCTGTGTCTCTCTCTTACCTGTGTCTCTTAACCGCCTCTCTCCCACCTCTATCTCTCACCTGTGTCTCTTTTAACGTGTCTTTCATCCGTTTATGCAAATGGGTGAGGATTTAATTATTTTTACTGGTGAGAGATTGACAATTAGAGACTTTAATACAGAGAGACAGCGATAGAAAGAGACAGACCGACACACACACACACACACACACACACACACACACACACACACACACACACACACACACACACACACACACACACACAGTATCCATGGCTCTTACCTGTGTAACTTACCTGAATTATTTACCACAACACGAACTACAAATATGCACTCGGACACTTTCTTTATTTAGTAAAACCTCCATATAGCGGATCTCTCCGTGTGATCAGCAGGATGGGGTTTCACATCTAACGGACTCTCTGTATAACGGACTTTCATTTGTATGTAGTCCGTTATGTTTTTTTTACATATAACGAACTCTCTATATAACGGACTTTAATTTATATGTAGTCCATCATATGGAGGTCATATATCTAATAGACCCTCGATATAACGGATTTTCTATAGAGTCCGTTAAATAGAGGTATTCATTGTCACTTTCCATTTTATCTCCACTATCTCTTTAACTATAAAACCAGAGATTAAAAAATATATCAATAATAATTTACATGATTATTGACGTATGATTCCTTTTCTAATATATATTTTTTTCTTTTTATTTCCAGTTCTCTCGAGGAGCGTCAGGAATATGGGTAAGTGTCACCTGGGAGAAGAATTGGAGTGGTAGGGTGTGTGTGTGGGCGGGTGGGCGGATTGGTTGGGCAGGTGTGGGTAAGGGTGGGTGGAGGTGAGTATAGGTGGGCGTGTGTGTCTGTGTAAACCTGTCCAGCTTGTATTGAGTAAACACCTATGCACCTGTAAGTGGGTGTGGGTAGGGTGTATTTGGGTATACAGTAGGGTGGATGGGTATGGGTGGTATAAGAACCAGTCCAGCCTATATGCTTAACAGGTAAGTAATTTGAAGTAATTAGTCGAACACCTGAATCCATTTTCTGTGTAGACCATTTACTGTAACTATAAAAATTCAGTAGAAAAGACAGTTTACCATCAGAGAAGTGGATTAAGTGTCTGTCTGTCTGTTTGTCTTCTCTGCCTGTCTGTCTATCTGTCTGTCTGTTATTGGTGGGACGCCTCCTTCCGTTTTCTTTGCTTGTTATTGTAATCTTAAGAGCATTAGTGGAGGGACGGGGGAGAAGGGAGGGGGGGGGAGAGAGGGAGGGGAAGAAAGGAGGGGGAGAGAAGGAGGGAGGGAGGGAGGGAGAGTGAGGAGGGAGGGAGAGGTTGTGGCGTCACCAGAAGGTTTAAGTTGAAGTGCATTACAGTTACCCAGACAGGCGAATCTACAAGCTCTGTGGCGCCCATTACAGATCTCTGGTTACTGTCTTTCAGGTTATTTTGGGCTTTAACCCTTTGAGGACTATGGTTTAACCCTTTGAGGACTATGGTTTAACCCTTTGAGGACGATGGTTTAACCCTTTGAGGACTATGGTTTAACCCTTTGAGGACTATGGTTTAACCCTTTGATGGACGATGGTTTAACCTCTTTGAGGACGATGGTTTAACCCTTTGAGGACGATGGTTTAAACCTTTGAGGACGCTGGTTTAAACCCTTGAGGACGATGGTTTAACTCTCGACTCATAGGTCAAAAATACAGTGAGTTTCAGAGCTGCTGTGGTTAATATGTAATACACAACAAGTTTAAACACTTTGGTTCTATCCGCTATCGGGTTATGCTGCGGGTATATATTTACTACATGCCAGATGATGATGTGTGTGTGTGTGTGTGTGTGTGTGTGTGTGTATCAATCAATGTATACATGTTTGTGTTTATCAATCAATGTGTATATAAACCAACAACAGACAGACAGACAGACACACACACACACACACACACAACAACACACACACACACACACAGTAAACAATAACAATAATAAATCAACAATGAAATCACGGCTGTAAAAAAAAAAAAAAAATCTCAAAATATCGACCCATGACGGAAAGTAAAGACGCCAATGGGTGATCAATCTCAATTACCTTGTCATTTTTCTCATTGTTACCGAGGAATAATGAATAATGGTAACAGAGGCTCTACATATCATTCCTTCCTCCTCGTGTTATATTTACGGCCACAGTCAGTAGAGATTCGTGGCCAGGTTGTGTGTGTGTTGGGGTGAACTGGAGTACGGTTATGTAATGAAGGGTGAGAGAGGAGGGAAGGAGAGGAGAGGAGAGGAGGAAGAAGATAATGAGGAGAAGAGAGAGAAGAAGAGAGGAAGGACTAAGAGGAAGAAGAAGGACACCAACACGAAGAAGATGAGAAGGAATAATAGTAATGATAAAGGCTGTCTGTTGTTGCCACTGAAAGAGGAGGAGAAGGAGGAGGAGAAGAAGAAGGAAGGAAGAGAAGAAAGAGAAGATAAGAGGGAAGGAAGTATTTTTTAATCCAATGAAGAATTATAAGTTAAAACGGCAAAACTTGAAGGTGTGATTAAAGTTTTGGCTGAGGGCGAACAATCGGTCTTGTCCAACCTCAAGATAAATTATACCACTATTAGATACGTCTTATTTCTTCTTATTTTTTTTCTCCTCCTATTCTTCTTTATATCATCTCTCTCGTCTCCTTTTTCTTCTTTCGTCTTCTCTCTCCCTATCTCTTCCCCTCACTCTCATTTTTCTTTCTTCGCCTCCTCTCCCCTTCACACACACACACACACACACACACACACACACACACACACACACACAACACACACACAAGAGCCGAGAGGAATGTTGTCTTAATTATTCACGTCATTAGGGAGTCAGGGACAAGTCTTACAGAACTTTTTTCAAGATGTCAGTAATTGCAAAAGCACTTCAGGTCGTCTTGTCGGTGTCGTCTCTAAGTTGTTACCTGCATAATATATGATTCACCTGTCGTATTTAGGATGCTTGAGTGTCGGTGTGTGTGTGTGTGGAGGGAGAGGGAGAGGGATGGGTGTGTGTGGGAGGAGGGAGAGGTGGATGGGTGTGTGGTGGAGGAGAGGGGAGAGGTGGATGGGTGTGTGTGGGGAGGGAGAGGGAGAGGTGGATGGGTGTGTGTGTGCGTGGAGGGAGAGGGAGAGGTGGATGGGTGTGTGGAGGGAGAGGGAGAGGTGGATGGGTGTGTGTGTGGGAGGGAGAGGGAGAGGTGGATGGGTGTGTGTGGAGGAGAGGGAGAGGTGATGGGTGTGTGTGGAGGGAGGGAGAGGTGGATGGGTGTGTGTGAGGAGAGGGGAGAGGTGGATGGGTGTGTGTGTGGAGGGAGAGGGGAGAGATGGATGGGTGTGGGTGTGTGTGTGTGGAGGAGAGGGAGAGGTGGATGGGTGTGTGTGCGTGTGTCCATCCATCCATGTATATACTGTATGTCAGGTGTATTCAGGTGTATTTATGTATTGCACCAAAGAGCTTAATTAACACAGGTGTGCAGAACGGTATAAGCTAATGACACTGTGATAGGTGTGCCTGTGTATTAGACCACAGCTTCAAGTGGCTGACCTTGTGTAGAGCTTAACTTAACCCTGGAGTATGTGAGGTTCCTCCAGTACTTAACCTAACCTAACCTAACCTAACCTAATCTAACCTAATCTAATCTAATCTAATCTACTCTAACCTGACCTGACCTGACCTAACCTAACCTAACCTAACCTAACCTAACCTAATCTACTCTAACCTGACCTGACCTGACCTGACCTGACCTAACCTAACCTAACCTAACCTAATCAATACGTAATGACCAAAACTCTCTTCTCTCCGTGCAATTTAAAATGTAATCACAAGCGTTTCTGTTCAGATAAAACTGCTTTCAATTTTCCTCTCTTTTTTTTTTTTTCAATAACACAAAGCAAAGTTGATTTTCATTTTGCAATCACTTTGCCTTTAATCAACCACCTTTAATACCGGACAATACCAACGCAAGGATACAATTTAAACTGAGTCTGGTAACACTGACAGGTTCATTTCACCGTAAAAAAAGATAATAATCTGGTAACAGTGACATGTTAATTTCACCGTAAAAATAACATTGTAATGCCAACATCACTCACTGAAATTAACATAAACTTAATTTTATTCTCTATATATATATTATTTTTTACATCACGTATAAATTAAATATCAAATATATACTGAATTTACATAATCCAAATAACACGAAATAAACCCTAAATGTTTATACTAATTTATATAGAGTTACAATGATGAGTTTGATAAAAGGTTTATTAGACTTGTTTAAATGATAGATGAACACACCTGTATACACCTGAACACACCTGTAGACACCTGAACACACCTGTAGACACCTGAACACACCTAATACACCTGAACACACCCTTCCTCCTTACTGCTCCTCCTCCTCCTCCTCTCTTCTCATCTTTCTTCCCATTATCCCATTCCTCCTCCTCCTCCTCCTCCGATCCCCTCTTCCCTCCTTCCCCTACCCTCCTCCCTCCATCACCCAACTCAAACATGCAACATCCCCCAAAAAATGTTGCAGCTGATGCATGCAGGATGTAGAGGCTGTCAGTTAGCTGGGCCACATATTGTCAACCAGCAGAAAGAGATGGACCCAGTTGCAATTTGGTAAAAGGGCAAAGAGAGAGAGAGAGAGAGAGAGAGAGAGAGAGAGAGAGTTGCAGAGTCTGTTTGCACAAATTACAGTATTGGGTATTTTTATTTGTTAGTTTGTTTGTTTACATTAAGCATTATCTGTATACTTAATTGATTAGGTGTTTAAGTCATAAGTTAAATTATAACTTAATTGAACAGAGAAAAAGATATGAGCAGCAAAACGGAGACAGACAGACAGGCAGACACAGACAGACAGGCAGACAGACAGACAGACAGACAGGCAGATACAGACAGACAGACACAGACAGACAGACACTCTTTCTTGATAATAATAGATACTCTCAAACTATCTTCTTGGTTTCCTTCAAGCAAAGTCAATAGTTGGTGACTGAGTTTTACCACCAAGAAAAAAAAGGAAAGAACTTTACTTCATTTTATGCTTCTTTCTTTCTTTCTTTCTTTCTTTCTTTCTTTCTTTCTTTCTTTTCTTTTCTTTTCTTTTAGTTTTTCCTTTTTTCTAAATTCTTTGACTTAATTTTCTTTTTCATTAACTTCTTCTTTCTTATTTCTTCCTTTTTGTTTTACCTTTCTTCATCCTCTCTTCCTATCTTTTTGTTCTTCCCCTTTCTCTTTGTCTTCCTCTTTGTTGTTACACCAATCATAGAGTTAAAGGAGTCACGATTTTTCCTCTCACCGCAAAAACAGTGAAAACATTTTGTGTGGAGACGGGGAGAGAGAGAGAGAGAGAGAGAGAGAGAGAGAGAGAGAGAGAGAGAGAGAGGTAGGTAATAATAGAAATCAAAGGAACGGTTCGGTATGTAAGCGAACTTCGTTATATAAAGAAATTCGGTATAGACAGGTAATACTGTACTGTAGTTTATAACATCAATATGTAATAGACAGGTGACAAATTAGACAGACGGGGAAAGAAATCCATCGCAAAAGGTTGAAGAGTATTAAAGACTGTATTTTATAGGTCAGGTCAGGTCAGGTCAGGTCAGGTCAAGGAGGGGATACTTATCACTACTTTATGTGGTCATGGAAGCTGAGAACTGAGATTTTGATGTAAAGAGAAAAATTTTACCCCTGGGAGTAGTCCAG